GAAGAGCTGATCTCATTAAATCTTAACGGATGGAGAGGAATTTCTGAAGCTCCCCAAGGACAAGGTCTTATCAACTCTGTCTCAGTGACAAGCACAGGGATACACGTAAACTGCTAAAGATTTACATAAAAGAATGGTGCTATTTTGGTAGGAGGCCCTTCTATTTCCAGACAGAAAGTATGCCTGTATCAGGCCACCAGGATGCTTTGGCTGCAAGTAACTGAAAACCCTGTCTCACCTGGGTTCAAGCATTAAGGACAATGCATTTTGTCACAATTAAGGAGTCTAAATAGAGGTGACTTTTGGGGGGCTGGATTGTGCGTTTTAGAAGGTCAAGGAAGTATGGAGGAGGGGGATGGGTGAAATAAAGAGGATTAAGAATATATTTATCTTGAGCACTGAGAAATGTATAGAATTGGTGAATCATGTTGTACACCTGAAACTAATCGAACTCTGCATATTAATTACACTTAAATAAAAAAGTAAATTTTTAAAAAGGAAGTATGGAAGGCTTAGTTTCCTTCCATCTCTCTGAGCTGCTACTTTTAGGGACTTGGCTTGTTCTCAGACCCTCATGGTCCCAAGAAGGCTGCTGAAGTTCCAGGCATCTTATGGAGACACACAGACATTCAGGGTAAGGAGGGGATGAAAGGCTCTCCTTGTTTCTCCTAGTAATAGCTGGGAAACCTATCTTGAATGAGGTGGGTTGGTGCTCAGCATCCATGTCAACTCCCCTCTTATATGCCTTGCTACCTGTGGGAGTGAAAAGGCTAAAAACTCCCATTTCTCAGGCTCCCCTGCAGCCAGGATCTGCCTTACATTTGGGTTTGTCCAATCAGATGCACTCATACAAGATTTGAATGAATGGAGGGTATGAGGTAGAAACCACTCTTCTGTTGGCTCAGAATACCCATCATGGAAAGGTATTCTTTTCTGTGATGGTCTTTCTGATCATAGCCATTTCCTTTTTTTCTTTTTAAGATTTTATTTATTTATCTGACAGAGAGAGAGAGAGCACAAGCAGGGGGAGCGGTAGACAGAGGGAGAAGCAGTTTCCCTGCCGAGCAGGGATCCCGATGCTGGGCTCAATCCCAGGACGCTGGGATCATGACCTAAGCCGAAGGCAGATGCTTAACCAACTGAATCACCCAGGCGTCCCTGATCATAGCCATTTCCTGATGGCAGTTGTCCCATCACTGGGACAGATTCCTGGTTATGTTGCCTTCCTGAAAGTGCCAGTGGAAACCAATTCCTAATTAAGCAGTCAGGTTCCTGATCATAGAGAAGAAGCCAGCCCTTGAAAAACTCAAGTCTATGGTTTGGCTCTTGAAATTGTACCAGAATGGTCAACGCAGAATCTATTTGTCCTGATATTTCTGTTAGCCATTTAACATCCCGTAATAAAGCCCTTTCTGCAACAATTAACTAGCCTAGGTCTCTATAATGAGCGGTGTGAGTTTGTTATGGCTACTGTAACAAATCACCACAAACTTCGTGGTGTCAAACAGAAATTTATTCTCTCACAGTTCTGGCAACCAGAAACTCCCAATCAGTGTCATTGGGCCAAAATCAAGGTGTGCTCTCCCCCCGCAGAGGCTCTAGGGGAGACTATTCCTTGCCTCTTCCAGCTTCTAGGGGCTTCCTTGGCTTGTGGCCACATCACTCCCATCTCTGCCTCTGTGGTCACATTACCTCCTCTTTTTTTTTTTTTAAGATTTATGAAAAAGTAATCTCTACACCCAGTGTGGGGCTCGAACTCACCACCCTGAGATCAGGAGTAGCACACTCCACCGACCGAGACAGCCAGGCGCCCCGTCTCCTCCTCTTTTGTGTGGGTAATCTCTCACTGTATCGCACTTATAAGGCACTTGCTGTGGCATTTAGCTCCTCCCCCCAGCCCCCTCATCCAGGGTAATCTCACCTCTTCCTTAATTTAATCACATTTGTGAAGACTCCCCCCCGCCCCAATAAGGTCACATTTACAGGTTCCTGGCATTAGGATGTGGATATCTTTTGGAGAGTCATTTTTCAGCCTGCCACAAGGAACAATATAAAATCTTTCTTAGAGCACCTGCTTCCCCTCAAGCCAAATTCCCCTCATCATCAGCCAGAACGGGATCACCACAAAACACGTTGTCTCTTTCTTCCTCTAGATTCACTCTCTGCTGTGTTCTAGGTCTCAGAATCTGGATCGCCTCAACAGGGACTCCCTTACCTCCAGCCGGGGTTGGCCAATGGAAGGCGTCAGCAGAAAATTGAGGGGGGTAGGGGAGAGCAGTTGGGTATTTACTCCCCTGTCTACATCCCTGCTGGGCTGTGTGCGGGCAGCAGTGGTGTTCCAGAATCTCTGTCAGCACTCCCTCCCACGCCCCTTCCAATTTAGTAATGGTAATAGTTTCTGGTCATTGGCTGGGCCTGGGACGCTCCCTTTGTTGGTTTCCCTTAACCATGCCCTGCCTCTGAACATTGCTGCTTAAATAAGTCCCTTCCCTCATTTGACTGTGACACGCGTGTGCTGCAGGGATCCTGGCTGATACGTAGTCATATGGTCATGCCTACATTGATCCCTAGCAAGAGGAATGGGAATCCCATGATTGGTTTTAGGTCAATCAAGATTCACCCAGGAATGACGTGGGGGAGGGGATCTGTCAAAAAGACATGAGAAAGGGTGGGGGGATGGGTTAGCCGGGTGATGGGTATTAAGGAGGGCACGTACTGCATGGAGCACTGGGTGTTATAGGCAAACAATGAATCATGGAACACTACATCAAAAACTAATGATGTAATGTATGGTGACTAACATAATAAAATTAAATTAAAAAAAAGAAAAGCCTAAAAAAAAAGACATGAGAAATTTTTTGTTGGGCTGGGAACAGCTCTGTCTCCTTTATCTGTTTTAGAGATAGGACCCCGGGATAAAACTTCCTCTCTTGTTTGACAGTTTACATGTTAAAGCTTTTTTATTTTATTTTTTAAAAATATTTTATTTATTTGACAGAGAGAGACAGCGAAAGAGGGAACACAAGCAGGGGGAGTGGGAGAGGGAGAAGCAGGCTTCCCGCCGAGCAGGGAGCCGAATGTGAAGCTCCATCCCACGACCCTGGGATCATGACCTGAGCCGAGGGCAGTCGCTTAACCAACCGAACCACCCAGGTGCCCCCATGTTAACGCTTTTTTCAAGTAATGGTACATTGATTTAATATGGAGTCCTTACTTTGTGCCAGGGCCTGGCAGCTGACGTGACTTAATGCTTTTAATTCCCACAACCACCTGGTGAGGAAAGATATTACAACTATTTTACCCATTGGAAACTAAGGGTTGAAGTGACTTGCCCAAGGTCACACAGTAACTAGGTGAGCAGAGTTGAGATTCTAAGCTCTCTCGGACCTCAGAGTTCACATTTTTTAAAGATTTATTTATTTATTTTAGAGAGAGAGAAGGGGAAGGGCAGAGGGGGAGAGTCTCAAGCTGACTCCATGCTGAGTGCTCGGAGCCCTACTCGGGGCTTGATCTCACAACCCTGAGATCATGACCGGAGTTGAAACCAAGAGTCTGATGCTTAACCAACCCCGCCACCCAGGCGCCCCAGAGTTCACATTTGTAACCACTACAATCATACTGTCTTCTTTATCATACTGGAGACACTTCTACCTATCAGGTCAAGAAATCATTGCTTTGCATACATAGTTTTGAACCCACAAAAGTTATGAATAAATCGCACCATCTTCTCTGCCCCACTGAGACCTAACTCACCATCACAGCACACCTAAACTCCCTCATCCACTCCTAGGCATGCCAGTCCCCTCCCATCTTAGGAGGCCAGAACATTAGACACATAAATTGGAGCAGCGGCTTCCTTGCTTAAAAACCCTGCAAGGACTCGCTATGTATCCTCCAGGAAATCCAAGTGCTTTGAAGATCTCACAGAAGCCGTAGTGCCTGGCCCTTTTCTACCTGGCTAACCTCCTTCCTAGCCACCCCTTTGTGGAGCTCTGGACTCCGGTACACTGGCCTCCTCTCTGCTCCTCAAACTGATGACTGGCTCCTTCCCCAGTCTGGAGCTCCCTGAAGACAGGGGCTGCGGCTCTGTACTCCAATAGCTGGCAAATAACTGGCAACCAGGAAATAGGACCCATGTAGAATGAGTGCATGATTGAATGGGTGGATGGATGGTAAATGCACCTTTCCAAGAGAAGTGTCACTAGGCTATTTTCAGATGCAGTAACTATAGGCCAGAAAAGGCTAGTATATTACTAAAAGTAACTTGGCAAATAAATGTCCCATCTGGGTATCAAATTCAAGTCTGAGTCCAAAGTTGGCTTTCCTCCACTTCACACCACCTCCAAATGATTGCTCCCAACTAGTTAAGTGTAACACCATTTAATAAGTGAAAGTAAACACCCGGAGAAACCGGTGAAAACACAGGTAGGCAGGGCATACAGACAGGAGGACACATAAATAGCAGGATCCCAAAATATCACAATAACGGGGAACTCTGACATTTGTGATCAAGAGTGGGAAGCTTAACCCACCCAGCCACCCAGGCGTCCCAAGTTCCCAAATTCATAGAATCTCAAAGGAGGTGTTGAAGGTTCAAATCAGAGGTCCAGCCCTGTTATGGTGAGAATAACCCAGGCAATGACATAAGTAAGACTGTCTCTGGGTACTTAGCGGGGCGCAGGGGGGTTGGGACAACGGCACGGCGGGCGTTGTCAGTGGCCAAAGTGGACCAAGGTTTGAAGTTTTTTCCTGAGCAACCTTGGCAACGCGTCTCACGGAAATATCGCTGCATCCGGGGAACTCAGGGTCTTGGGGAAAGCGCCAGCACCTCTGACCCTCGGTGCAGGTGGGTGGAGGTCCGGCCAACGCAGGCTGAGAGCCCCCCGAGCCTCAGCGCCCACTGGCTGAGTCACCCGCCTGCTCCAATGCGCCAGCAGAAGGCAGCCCCCGCAGCCGCCCGCCTGCAGAGCTGCGGGTCCCAGGCGCAGCCGCGGCGGGGATCAGAGACAAGGCCCCGAGTTCGCCACCAGCTTCAGGTCCCACGTGAGCAGGCGCAGGAGGCTGAAGATGACGCTGGCTTCGTGGCACCGAGGCGAGTCCTGGAACCCGGGAACCCGGGAAGGAGGCGGAGCCGGGTTGAGCCAGGAATTCCCTTCGAGACAAAGTCCCCTCCAGTCGCTCACCGCTCAGAGTCTGAGCTCCCATCCCGTGTCAACCTCACACGGTCCTCCCTGCGGTCTAACCGCCCCACCGCCCGCGCCACTCACAGCTCTCCGTGTTTGGGGACGCCTCCTCGGTGGCCGCAGGGACTTCCTCCACGAGCCTGGCCGCACCAGCTCGAGCTGCAGGGGGAACACGAGGGACATGGAGACGGCGAAGAACCGAGTGTCCCGGGGACTCTGCCCGTCACCCTCCCGGCCGCAGACCAAAGCCCGGACTGGGAGACCCCGAGACCACGCGAACCGTGGCTGCGGAACAGCTTGGCCAAGCGGGTGGGCCCGGGCTGGAGGCCCGAGGGGCCGGGGGCGCGGGCGGC